TTGTCATCATCAGGTCGAAACGTTGTACATTTGCTGTTATGTTAAACTTATATTAAAGTTTTTCTTCATTACCTTAGAAGCCGTCTCCAAGCATTATTAGTCTCAAAGTGGGTTCCTCGTCATCGAATTTGAAAACACTGTTATATATATTGTTACGTCTCTGTTCGTTTGTTAATTTTCCGTAAAAATTCTTTCCGAAGAAACTTTAGCGATACAAGTCCTTTTTTAAATAAAACTAGTTTATTCTTTCTCAATACAACTTTGAAATTCACTTAATTTCCACGGTCACGCTATTACTTAAACAAACGCTATAATTTACAACGAACGACACACGCACTCGACCCAACTGTCCGTCTCTATGTCTGTCTGCAATTCAACTGCATTTTTGCCGTCACTTCTTTGCGGTCTTATATACAAGAATACCGCATATCTAGTAAACACTCGAAGCTTCACGAAGGGACATGAATTTTCTAGAAGCTCATGACGTGTTACTAGGGTCACGTGACTTCCGTTGTCGTAACAATATATGTAAAATCACGACCTATATCTCCAGAATGTACTTTTATTAGCTCAATATTTCGCTATTACAGCTTCGTCAGGACCTATCGATATCCTGACGAAGTTGTAATAGCGAAATATTGAGCTAATAAAGCTACATTCTGGAGATATAGATCGTGATTTTATTTATGTTTATATAAATGTCTCATTACAAACTCTAGTTTGCGTTAAACAAAGTTAAGAATAATAAACACTGTTAAATCTTTTATGAACAGCGGCTTTCTCTTTTGCAAGTTTTTAGCAAAAATGATTTCTTCTTTTTTATTTCAGACTAATACTAGTGCTCTATATTATGAATTATAATTGATTTCCGTACAAAGTATTTGAGAATATTTTATCTTCATGAGTTAACAAGTTTGCTAATATTTTAGTACTTTACTTCAAAGGAGCACGATTTTTTAAAAGTTTGTTTTAGTTTTTACTGACACCTGGCGGACATCCGATATCATTTTGGTAGAATTACGTTGGTTTTTAAAACTTGTAGTTAGACTTTTTTTTTAGATCGTGATAGTAGTAGTAAGAGTTAGTTAGGATGTTTTTGGGTTTTTTTTGTCAAGTAATTGTTAAGTGTGATACTTTAAAAAGATCTACAATGTACATTACAACTACAAGTAATGGTAGGCTAATTTCAAATCCCTTCAGAGTTCAGTTCGGGGTAAGCGGTTACATTTGAGACAAATAATTTAGCATGAAAAATAAGATTTATAATTTGATCTGAAGCAAAACTTAAATTTTACAGTGTTAAGGAACTTAAAACTAAAAGTTAAACTGATTAATCAGGTAATTACTGAATTATGTGACATTAAAATTAAATCTAAAACTAAAACACAAGAGCTTGCATAGTGTCAAATGAAAAACTACTGAAATTGAACTTGAAGTTTGATTTGGTAACACTAACAATCAGTGTTTTAAGTTATGCAATTAGAAAAGCTAATTCCGATTCCTTAACTAAGTAAAAGTAACATTGTAACTGTTGCTACGTACTAGTAGTACTGTGTGCTATACTGTACTGTAGTAACATTAGTACAATATTTATAGTTTTATACTGATTATACAAGTTACAATAGAAGTTTTACTTTGCAATTGCTACAACTATGCAAGTACTTGTGTGCTAAATGTTTGTCAGGTACTAGTTTTAGTGTGTGTGGTAAAGTGCTGTGAGGGGGATGTCCTCCTGGACAATCAATCTTTTATTCAAATTTCAGTGAAGCAAAATGGTGAAATTTGGTGCATTTCTTGGATCAATGTAACCATGAACTTGACCTGGAACTAGCCAGTCAAACAACCATGATGTGTTATAGAATTTTTTTTTAATTGTAATTTACATGTAAATACTTAAACATGATATTTATAAAAGATTAAAGTACTTTACTTCTGAAGAAATCACTCTTCAAAAATGTTAGAGAATTTGGTCTACAGTTGTATTTTATAATTTTAAATGTTTTATTACCTCTGCCAAAGTATAAATTGACATTACAATAGTAACTGTATTTTACAGTATAGAGTAAGATAATGTATACAATATGCAAAGTTAGTCATTTGCTAAATGAGCATTAACATTAAAAGGTTTAATGTGCTATTACTAATACTATTGGGTAATCTAATGCTCTAACAGACCATAATATTGTTATAGGCTGTGTTTGTATGGTTTTTGGTTAGAGTGAGTTTTTTGAAGTCACTTGAGTATGTAGCCATAATGACTAGAATTTTTTTGAAAGTTTAACATATAATATTAGACAACAAGGGACCTTTTATTTTATCTAGGCCATCCTATCTATTAAAGTAAACACTAAAAACCCAAAGCCAGCCCTTATTATTCAAATATTTATTATGATTTTTCTTTGAACTCCCTTAAGTTAAATTAACTGCATATACCACATCTGAAGGCAACAGTCCAAAGGCCAACCACCCTGTTTGACAAATAAAGCTGTCTTGGCTGAAGATGACTTCTACCCTTCCAAAACTTGTATTTGTCCCCTTACCATTCTCACCATTATTGGCATTAAATAGAGGGAAAAAAATTTGCATTGACCCTGTCAATTCTATTAATCTTAAACCCCTCAATTAGATCCCCCTTGTACTCTTCTTTTTTGAAAAGTTCATAGACCTTAAATCAATCCATATTTGACAACCTTTCCATCCCAGATATTATCCTATTAACTCTCCTCTGAACCCTTTCCAACAGTTCAGTGTCCTTTCTAAGGTAAGGAGATAGAGACTGAACACAGTACTCCAAATGTGGTGTAACTAATGACCTGTACAATGATGTTATAACCTCTTTAGACTTGTATTCAGTATTTTTGTGGACATGATATAAAATTATATTTGCCTCGCACTAGCAACAGCACTTTGTTTGGATGGCTTAAGAGACTGATCAACCAGAACACCAAAATATTTTTCTTTTATGACAGTGTTAAAGTTATTCTCATCAAAATTATACACATAATTCAAATTGATATCCCATATGCATTACCTTGCAATTTTTGTAATTGAAAGCCATCTGACATTTACTTACCCAACTAATCAAATAATCCAAATCCTTTTGTAAAGCAGTAGTATCTTCCTCACAGCCATTAACACTCAAAATGTTAATGTCATTAGCAAACTTAACTTATCTGTAGACAATTCCTTCATCTATGTCATCCATATAAATCAAAAAGAGCAAAAGTCCTAACACTCATGAAATTAATACAGTTTGACTGAACTTCATTTATAACAACTACCTGCTTTCTTCTGTCTGGCCAGTTTTCTATCCATTGAGCCAACCTATCCTCTTCACCTATAGGGATGACTTTTTTAATGCTTTTTATGTGGTTCCTTGTCAAATGTTGTTTGAAAATCTAGATACACCAAATTCATACCCATGTCTATGTAATCAGGAGTTTCTTCAAAGAATGTCAAAAGATCAGTGAGGCAAGTTTTCCTTAATAAAACAATGCTGACCAGTGTTCCTTCCAGGGTGAAATATAATGAGGCCATGTGGCCTTTCAGGTAAAAAATTTGGGGCTGTATAGCAGTAAAGTAGGGCCATGTTAATATAAATTGAATAAACTTTTAAAAAATGAACTTAGTCTTGTTTTAATCCCTTGTAGCAGATGTATCAAACAGTGAAACTAAGTAAGTAAAAAGATTATGATCATTTTAGTTTGTGATAATGGTTTTAAGTGAAAACACTAACTGAACGTATATACAAGTCAGTTTCAACTATTTGCTACATGATCAATGTCAGCATTTCAAATTAACTCAACAAATACAATACTGAATAGTTCCAACTAAGAAAACAACCTTCATGTTAACTTCTTTCTTGTACTTCACATTTGCCCTGTAACCCTTGTATTACTTGTATATCTTTTGTTTCTTGCTCTTTCCACTCATCTAGAACTGCTTTGAAATTAAAATCTTCCAATACTGACCTTTCTGCTGAAACAGTCATAAGCTCATCAACTCTCTCTGCTGCTAAGCAATTTTACTCGTAGGTTTTAATGATATTCTTGATGCTAGAATCGCTTTCACAATCACCAGTATGGATGAGAGCAGTAACTGCAATGGCAGTAAACTTTAACAGGTTTTGGTATTCTTCCATGTAATTTGAATTGATCAATCCCCATAGCACAGTGGGCTTGTCTCTTGGATAACCAGCGTTAATAACTTGTTCTTTTACGTTTCATCACCCTGTTCTTGTTTTCTCTGGATCTACTATAGCCTCTGATGTGCTTACACTCTCATCATGTTCATGTTCTTTTGCACTTCCAAAGTGGTTAATCAAGGTTTCACTTTTGCTATTACCCCAACTTTAAAGATCATTCTTTCACAGAAATGTAAATTATCTATTCCAATTACACTCATTGCATACTTGATCTCAGTCATTCTGTGAGAACCTTTCAATGAGTTTTTTCCACAAATTTTGCTAAATGTGCTTTTCAGGGCCTTAATGTTTCTTGCACTCTCAGTGTGTCAAGAAAGGATTGATGTTCCTGCTATTCTTGAGCATCTTTATACTTGTTCAGTGATCTCATACACTGATTGGTATTTGTTTGGACTTTCAGACACACCAAAGTCCCTTTTCTGAAAACCAGGCACAGCTCAGTCATAATAGGGATTATGTCTCTCAGCATGTATGTAGTGCCTATAAAGTCGAAATTTGCATATTTCTTTGTATAATCCTTTGCTCAGGGCTCGATTTTAAGGAAACTTCCAGGTTGTACTTCAAGCAACCTGACCTATATCAGAGGTTCTCCATAAAAAAAAAAAAAATATACTCTAAAAAAATCTAATTACAACAATATTGATGTACAAAGACCCCAAAAAAGACCCAGTTACAAGAATTTTGACAACCGACCTGTGTCAGAGGTTCTCCGTAAAAAGAAAAAAAAAAGACCCTAAAAAAATCTAATTACAACAATATTGATGTACAAGACCCCCCCAAAAAAAAATACCCAATTACAAGAATTTTGATGTTTTTATATTGTATTTATTTCTAAAAAATAGGATTAATGTTTGGTTGGCAATTTTGCATCCATATTCAATTAATTTTTGATGCTTTATTTCCCAGGAAGTTTCATTGAACTCGAAAAAATAAGCCCAAACCATCTTAATGTTATACAGTATCTTAAGGAAACAAACAGTCAACGACTTGTAAAACTTTTAAACAAAATGGAGATCTTGGTCAGTCATATTCATTGTTTTCATTCTAACCAGTTTGTTGCACCTGCCAAGTGCAGCTTGTAGTAAACTTGCACTGGAACTCTCACACGTACTACAAACTGTAATATGTACACGATGCCTGAGTACTGTATGTGTACACACACTTCTGATATGTATTGTCATTCATACTCTTAGTTTATATTGTCCTAGAGAGAGGCAAAGCTGGCCTTATTTTATATATTATATTGTTTTGTACTTATTAAAACTTTCATAAAATTTGTTTGCAGATATCATTATGTTCTGTTTAATTCCTGGATTTTCCTGCTTTTCTCATGGTCCGTACGCCTTCTGTATTTCCAAGACTCGTTATGAATTCCCACCCAGCCATATACACTGGATGCCACTTATTGTGATTGCTTTGGGACCCAGTTGCATTGATAACAATGAATGATAACTTTAACCAATGAAATAACAATGAAAGCTGCTAAGGCTATCATCCAGTGCCACTAATTTTGAACTATTGACTAGAGGGAAGGCAACTGACTGACAGTACCCACCACCAACTCTGGCTACTTAAGTGTTAAATAAAGTGCAAATTTATTACTCACTTTGCATTGTATAATGTTTCTAATTTGCAACTGGGTAACTGTATTCTTTAATGTTGCATAGCTAAATTTTAAAAAGTTAGCTGGTTTCATACCATTATTGTAAATATGAAACATTACTCCAGCTAATGTGGAGCAAAAATTGTTGCATGCTAATATAAGAATCTGAATAGACTTTCTAGTTTTATTCTTTTTTCATTCGCTGGTGGTTTTCAAGCTTTTTAATATATCATTATAACTATCAAAAGTTTTATTTTACAAAATAAATTAATGTTGTTATAATTTTTATGTTGTGTGACTAACTTTAGACTGCTTGAAGAATTTCATAAAATACTATGTTTTTACTTTTCTTAAGTATTCATTTGCCTAATAAGTAAAATCAGGTATGATTATTCATTTCACTAGGTTGTTTAAAAATTTTTTAAATAACTGCATAGGTATAGATATAATGATGAAGGCCCTAGGTTGTCATAAACACACACAAACATATAAAACAATACTAATTTATTTTGGATAACCTTTAAGGAAAAGTGTACATGGTACTATTAAAATGGTTGACTGACAAGTGAATAAATAATTTATTGTTTCTAAATACTAAACAGTGCAGTTGCATTGCCTGAATGATACATTTTCATGTACCAAGTTTAGGATTAAAAAAAATAAGTTAATTCTAAATTACTGTGCCTTAAATCTGAAGACAGTTTCTTCTGACTTATTTTTTTTTTGTTACTTAATAAAATTCTGAAATTCCAATTTTAGTCATTTGTATATGTTAATTCTAAGTATATTTCAACAATTTTAGCTCATAAATATTTTAGAATCAATATTTTGTCAATTTCTGACATTTGTGCAGTATAATTCATAAAACAAAAATGTTCATATTTTCATTTCTTGAACCTCCAAAGTGTTTTGCATGTCAACAGAACAACCCACATATTGATTTTTTTTTAATTTTCCTTTCCATCCTATAGAATAATTTTTATTTTTACTAAGAACCTATCACTTTTTAGGAATATATTTTCCATTTGATATTAAAACATTTCCTTCAGTTCAGCAGTTCTCAAACTGTGACTTGCAAACATTTTGGGGTTTCTCGAAACATTTCAGAGGGTTCTTGGAAAAAATTCTATATTGGCGGAAGCAAAAGTTCACGTGCATCCATCACACTGAGTAAATTATAACTTTAAGACTCCTCGTGAAAAATGGAAAAGTGAGAAGGGATTATTTTTTGCTGTTTTAAAAATTAAATAGACTGCTAGTGTTTTTAAAATTAAGATGAACAAGTTTAGGCTTAATCAAAGTGATACTATTATGAACATAAAATCTTGGAAGTGTTGCTGTTTTCATAATGTAATAATAAATAATGTAATAAAAGTGTGATAAGAAAAACATATTTTTATTTCCAAGGTCACTATTCTTGTAAGTTATACTCGGATAAGGGTGAAAGTCTCTGGAAAATATTTATTTTTAGTAGGAGGTTCTTGAGATTTGGCATTTTCATGAAAGGGGTTCGCAGGATGTTACAGTTTGGGAACCACTGCTTTAGATAACCTTTGACACCTTGTTATTGTGCCTCATCAAGTTGTTTGAGCATTTACTAACAAAGTACAGTTTTGAGAACTGTTAAAGATAGCTTAAATATGATTGGATAGAACAAGCCACCTGTTTTAATTAGCCACCTATGTTTATGTACGTCTTAACAGCAGAGCAACTTTATAACACCCCCACATTCAAAGGTTTTAATTAGCCACCTGTGTTTATGTACTTCTTAACAGTAGAGCAACTTTATAACCTCCGACATACAAAGCTTTTTAATTATTCATCCATATTTTTGCACTTGTAAACAGAATTCTCAGAACTTAACACTGAATTTCTAAACAAAATGTTACTATACAGCAAACCTATTCAAAACTCAAAAATATAACATTTTTTTATTAGAATAAAAGTGGATAATGTCCTTTCATGCTAATGATACTACAGCATTATATAATTTTGCAGCAGAAAAAGTTTTTTGTTGATGAATTTTAACAATACATACACATAAAAATTAGCATGTAGCTACAAGAGTCACTCTTAGTAGGCTTTACACCTGTACATATAATTTTTTGCATATTTATTTTTATCTTCTTTATATTCATACACAGTGGACAGACAGAAATTTGTTTTCCTGAATTATATAATTCTGTCAGAAGAATGTGTTGAAATTTGACAAAGTATAGAGTTATGGTATTTCAAGCAGGTCTAAAAAAAGGATTATCAAATTCATATTAGAAAAGTTGTTCACAAAACTTCCTTATAAAAGTTTTAATATTTGCATCCTCAGAGACACAAATTTGAAACAAAACAAAAGACTATACTCTGGACAGAACTACTTAGTTGACCTTGAGAAGAAATTGGCTCAGTTAAGTGCAACCTTGATGGGCAAACATTAATTTTCCCAAATTATATTATAAGATTGCAATCATGATGTGTTGTAAATAAAAGCATTACCCTTATCAATGCTAGTAAATACTAGACAAATATATTTTACACAAAATGTGCAAGTAATTACCTTCAGAAGAGGTCTATTATATGAAACAAAGGATAAGTTGAAAATTAATTTTAAATAAAAACAATGTGAATCAGAACAGGAAGATTAATAGCATGCTAGAATAAAGCAATGGTGGAAAAGGTTATGAAGGCTGCATGCACCTATTCCTTGTTTGTTTTCTTTTTTGGGTATGAGGGGAAGTGTAGGGGGGATATACTAATTGACTAACCTAATATAATCAATTAATAGGCCTGTCAATTCATTGGTCAGCAACTAACTCTAAATCACACAGCTCTATCCTTACCCTCATCTACATAATCAGTAACATCTTTAAAGAATGTCTAAAGATTAATAAGGCAAGATTTTCCCAGAGAGAATCCGTGTTAATTGTCTAACAAAAAAGTTAAACTATGTGAAATATGTCTACAAAACATATTTTATCAGACTTTCTAAACTATTCCTACCAATGATATAATACTAATAAGCTTATAATTGCTAGGACAATTTTTTTACTATCCTTGAAAAAAGTAGTACTAACCAACTTCCAATGATCTTGTACGTTCCCACTATTCAAGGACTTACAAAAAATAGTAACAAGGGGGACAACTGTGTGGCAGCATCTGTTGTCAACATTTTCCTTATTGAACTGCTGATTAGAGGAAAAGCAACTGGCTGTAGTGTCTCCTCAGCTACAGTATTTTTCTTATACATATATCTGTGAGCAGAGACTTTTTATGGGTGTTGACAGTTTACTTACCACTGCAGTGAGCACAGGGGTCATCATATCTTTCAGTATTGTTTGTTTGTTTTAAGTTAAACACAAAGTTACACAATGGGCTATCTGTGCTCTGCCCACCACAGGTACTGAAACCCAGTTTCTAGTGTTGCAAGTCCACGGACATACTGTAACATAGGGGTAGCCCCATGGATTATGGTATTTTTTCAAATGCAAGTTGCCTAGTCAGAGCTCATGTAGAGTAAACCAAGCCACAATTGATGCTTCTCCAGTTGAAAATCAAGCTAGGTCCCCCCCCCCTCCTACATCTCCTTCTGTGGGTCATTCAGATCAAGATATAAGCGAGTCAGTTCTGGAAACTCTTTTGCTTATTTTGACTCAGTCTTTGGGGGAGATATAGGTTTCCATTTGATTGTACTCCCTCTCCTTCCTTTCAGACAGTGCAAACTTATATCATGACTGGATGTGATTTGACAGTCATTTGAATACCTGGTAACTAAGTCCCTGCCTCAATTGGAGGTAGTTACTTGTATACTTCATAGGTGTAACAATTTCTTAGCTCAGGGTAAGGTTAAGTTATTCAACATTAAAAGAAACCTGAGTTCTCTTTTAGACAGAATTCTTATGATTTGATCATGACTGTATGGAGACCAAGATCTTCTCTTTGAAACCTCCCAAGTTGAACTCGAATACATACTTACTGAATGTACAGGATAATCTGTTAATTATGGTCAAGAATTCAGTGGCTCTTGATAGTGCTCTGGGAGACTACTTAAAGCTCTCCCTTTTTTTTCATTGAATTACAGAATAATGAAGTGAGGTAAAGTAGTGGTTCCCAACCTTTTTTTTGGCTTAAACCCCCATCATGCAGACTATACAATCTTCAATATCCCTCATCTCTTGCATTCTATACATTTGTATGCATGTGTGTTTATATAACACACACACATATTTATGTACATGCACAACAACAGTATATAAACCACAATGTGAAAGTGAACAAACCTGTTCCGTAGAAGTTGCTGTTTCAGTGAAAACTCTGAGCTTGAAGATTCTTCACAAGTACTGAGATGTCAGGCATTATATTTATAACAATGTTGACTGAAATTGTTTAACCCTATAGGCAACTAATTCTTCAGGTTGGAAACCACTGGTGTGAAGGCTGATCATTAAGGTAAGTATAAGATGAAATAAATTTACATGTACAAGTTTGAATTTTAACATACTCTCTCTCTCTCTATTTTATACAAGTCTGTTTATTGAAGTAATGCAGCAGGTAACTTAATGTGCTTATTGGTAAAGTCAACATTAGTAATGTACCTTTATTTTTAATGCATGTTGCAATATTTATTAGTGTCATATTTTTAACTGTTATTCAACTATCTGCATTGAAATTATTTGCATTCAAGAATTGCACAATGTTTATTACCACTTACTTTTAAGTGAAACATTAAATTTAGCCATTAAAATTTCTTTTATTATTAATCAATTTTTGTAATCTTCCACTTTACAATTCTCTAATTATTAATTCTTATAAGTCATAGTTGTAGAAAATGTGAGGAAAACAAGCACACTTAAAGAAATAATGACTTCTTTATTGACCCCATCTTTCAGTATTTTGGGCTAGGAAATTACCAGCCAAAGTTTAATGTTTGGACAGAGTGATATCAAAATAAATGATTATTAATATTATTTTCTGATCCAGCAATCTACCTACTTAGGTCAAATTAAAAATCAATCCAGTAAAGTACGTAGCTCATTAAGTATGCTTATGTTTTTACTTATAAAGTTTGCTTTAGAATGTAGTTTCATCAGTTGTGTACCCTCACTGTTAACACAATTTTTGGCCACTAACCAAATAATATCTCACAATGTTCAGTCAACATAGAAAACTAAAGTTAGTCCTAAGTCCATGTATTAGATTATACACTTTTTAAGTAATAAATATTTGTTACCATAAATATGATTGAAATATTGTCACATTATCAGTTTAATGCACTACTACAGCAAATGTGCATCATACATAAAGCAATGCTTGTTAATGTTTGGTTGGAAGATGTGTAAAACTCCATTAAGAAGCATTGTACTGTAGGAGCTCATTATGGCAATGAGTTTAGTTTTTACAAGTTTGATAGAGAATATACCATCTACCTAACATATAATAGTTTCTTTGTTTTTTCTGATGTTTCAAAAGTTTAGAGAAAATATACTATCCAATCTGTCAGTAAAGAGACAACAGAGTTTAGTATCATATGAAATTGGCAATAGAACAATTTCCTTAGAGGGGGGGGGAGGCAATTTAACACTTTTTTAGTATGTATTCAAAAAATTTTACTTCAGTGGAGAAACACTTCTGAGATGTTTGTTGAGTAATTTTTACAAAAAATATTCTGCCCTTTTAAGAATTTTTAAATGGTCATGCATTATATTTCAGAGCTATGATGGTCTAGTTTAAAAACCTTTTTTTCCTTGCTTAGTGATCATATTCCTTAACGTTCTTATTTTTTTTCACACGTAAACTTCTTCATTTTTGATATGTGACATGTTTTCATGATACTAGTTATCAGAAAGTATTTTTTTTTAACTTGTTTAAACATTTTGTGTACATAAATGGTATAAGTATTTAGTAATTATAGACCACATTGTCAATTTACTGCTTTATTATTCTGTTCTACATTTTCTATCTTTTAGTCATTCCTTGTGTTAAATTGTTGTTAGCAAATATCTTAAATGTTCAAAGGAAATTTTAAAACTAAGATATATCAGACAAAAGATAGTGTAAAGAACAAAATGAGCACAATGAGTGTATAATGTACAATAAGTGACTGAATCTAGTTTACAATAATAGTGTGATAGGAAAGGCATGATAATTTAAAACATGGCTAGTTGCATGTGCCTATTAGTGATCTACAACAACTATAACACTAAGTTGTACGTGCTAGTTGTGTTTTTTTTTCTTGTTTTATTTAAGTAGGCTCAGAACATGAAGATGAGGAAAGTATTAAGTGCTTTGAAGAAAGAAGAAACTCTCCTGAATTCTCTCTCTGCAAGAAAATGGTTTTAACACTTCATCCCTGAAGATGTGCAGTGAAAGAATTGTAGGGCTTATCTTTTTCAGAAGGTGTTT